TAGCAGCAAGTGGCCTTGAATCTCCCACACACACCTGCAGAGCTGACCAGAGCTGGCTAATGGCCTGCTTTGTTCTTGACCCGCCGCTCTGCACCCGGCACCGGCATGGCCCGTTTGGCTCAGTGCCCACTTTGTTTTTGCCCACCACTCTGCACCCGACACGAATACACCTGGAACCAAGAAGACACCTTACATTCCAGGACATACCTGTCCATATAAGCAGCAGCCCTGTAGCCTGCAATGCGACTCCCCCAGCCCGTACATTGTGGACTGTGGGACTTCACCCAGGCTGGTTTTTTTCTCCCTAATCAAGCCTGTTTGTTCTAATTCGACTGATTTGGTTTCTGGCGCCTCTCGACTACCTTACAAAGGTGCAGGATTGGGGCTGTAGGTGGGGTGGGGTGGGATCAGGAAATCTTTATAGAACAACCCTGTGTTATCATGAAAGAAAACAAATGAACAAATAGAAACCATCTTCAGTGCTACTTACTGGGCATTTGCCCCACCAATGCAGTATTTCATTTTCTTAAAAGTTCTTCTTAATAAAACCCCATAATCGTCCTTTGAGAAAATCTATCTTAGATGCCCCCCCCTTTTGCCACCACCACCGCCTCCCCTCAGCCCCCCCCCAAAATCCCACCCAGTTGCCATCACCACCTGAGTGGACTTCTGGGCCTTGAATTGACCTGACCCTGCAGGTGCCCTCAGAAGTCACTGGCTTGATAGGACTTTGGTTTGTAAGACCCCCTAACGAGATGGAAGACAAGGGTGTGGCTGAGAGGACGGTCTGTAGCCACCCACAGATGGGAGAGCAGAGACATGTTCCAACAGGTTTTGCTTGGAATAAAGCCGTTCATGCCGGAGCTAGACCCCTCATAGCGATACCTTTTTACTTACTCAATGTTACTATGTTCAAGATGTTTTAGTGGCTCTGGCTTTCATGATTTGGTAACCCACATGCTTTGGTAACCCTAGCCGCTAAGGTAAACATCGACGACGAACCATACTTACAATGGTCTCATCGCCCCAGCTAGGATACAACATGGGTTTGACGTTGGATGTAGGGCTGGACCACATTTGTGATCTGGGGCCTGCCCTTTTCATTTCTAAAGGTTCTTGTATTAGTCTGGGTACTTTGGAGAAACAAATCCACAGCAACTCATGTATAAGAGAGTTTTATGTAAAGAAAGTGTGCATCACGGAAACATCCCAACCCAATGCTGCCCAAGCCCACAAGTCCAACATTAACCCATTAACCCAACACCAGTCCACAAAGTCCTCCACCTCACAAAAC